AGAGGGGGAGCCGGGGTGGGGCTCCCCTTGTAGCAAGAAAGCAGCTTCCTGACAGGGACCACACTATCCTCCCTTCGCTGGCCGGGAGCGTTGGCCTCAGTGCTCCTCCTGCAAGGGCGTCGGAGCCTGGCTTCCTCCGACTCTGACATACAACCCACATTGTTCCCGCCAACCACCCTGGTCCCCGGCCCCGGCCCCCTTCCCACGGCTCACTGCCTGGAACCAGGCTCCTTTGGCCCCTGAGTCACGGAGGCGGTGTCTTGGGCGTATCTTACGAGCCACAGCTGGTGTAGGTTTGCCCAGGGAGCCTCGGAAAAGACATTATCCTCAGGGAAGTTTAAAAATAGGCTGAAAGGAAAGCCCGGAGAGGTGGGGGTGGGAGGGGTAAGGAGGGGGAGAGGAAGGAGGAGGGGAAGAGCAGAGAATGAGAGAGAAAGGGTTTGGCCAAAGGGCAGAGAGCGTACAAGTAAGGGCTTTCCTACTGGTGCTGGGTAAACTAGGCTTCACCCCTGAGCCTTCCCTTCATGGGGGCAGGGGGCTCAGCTCCCCAAGAAGCCAGGGTTGGGCAAGGCCAGGCGCATGATTGGGGTCAAGCTGGCACCAAACCAGGGGGTCCCTGACTTCTTGTGCTATAGACCCCGCTTTGGAAAGAACCCTGTGGACAAATTTCCAGCAAAGTGTCTCTAAAGGCATAAGATGACGTGTATAAGATTACAACAGAAACCAGCTGTATTAAAATACAGCAATCAACCTATTTTTTAAATATGTTTTTATTGATTTCATAGAGGAAGGGAGAAGGGGAGATAGAAACGTCAGTGAGCCGAAACCAGTTTGGCTTAGTGGATAGAAAGGTCCCAGGTTCGATTCCGGTCAAGGGCATGTATATTGGTTGCCGGCACATCCCTGGTGGGGGGTGTGCAGGAGGAAGCTGATCAATGTTTCTCTCTCATCAATGTTTCTAGCTCTGTATCCCTCTCCCTTCCTCTCTATAAAAAATCAATAAAAAATATTTTTTTTAAAAAGAAAACATCAATGATGAGAGAGAATCATTGATCAACTGCCTCCTGTACACCCTCAACTGGGGACTAAGCCCAAAACCCCGCATGTACCCTGACAGGGAATTGAACCCTGACCTCCTGGTTCATAGATCAACTTTCAACCAACCACTGAGCCACACCAAGGACTTTCTGAACGACCTTGAGGACAAAGCGGGGCCTTTGCACGAATTTCGTGAATCAGGCCTCTAGTATAAAATAATAAAATCTAGCGGCAGGTCTACTCCAACAAACACCATGATTTCCCAGTAGTGGTGAGCTGACGTGATATCTGAGCATTGCAGTGTTGTACCTGTGGTCTCTGCCTGGGATACAGTCTCAGGAGGGATGGGGCTGCTGAGGTCTGGGGACACGCTCTCATAACTGGCGGAAACGCTACACTTTAGTTCCAGTTAGTGAAAGCAAAGGTGGCTTTTACCCCATTCTGTGTTCATTAACCGCTGAATTACCCCTGTGGACCCCAGGACATGACACTGAGGGACAGTCACAGACCTTGTTAGTTTAGTGAACACTTACACGGACATGGCTACTCTTATCACCTCATCTTACAGCCCGGGACACGGAGGCTTGGAGCTACGGAGGTGATTGGGGCACAGGCAGCATATGGCAGGGAGGGAAGGCTGGTGGCCTTGAACTTGGGTTCCCTCTCCTAAAGCCTGTACTCTCCCCCAAAACCTGCCTCCTCACCCGAGCAGGCCATCCACCGGGGCCAGAGCGGGCACGCCCTTCATTGGCATTGGAACTGGTTCACAGCGGTGACCCTGAAGGCAGAGGGTGGCACCCTGGGATGCCCTCAGCAGTGCTGCGATGGCCTGTCTGCTTGTTCCCACGGCTCTCTCAGGGAGCCCAGCACAGCACGGTGTCAGGCTCACCTCACACTCCCACCTGTGTCTGCTGGTCCTCAGTGGGTCAGAGCTCAGGCCTGGGCTTCAGGCTCCAGAGCCCAGACCCGCCCAGAACCCACCTCGGTTTGTTCCCTCAACACCACGCCCGACCGCGAGAAATGTCACAGCGCCCCAAACAGGGGTGACATGAACCACGGGGAGGGGCGCTGAGGAGCAAGCCAGGCCCCCAGACAGAGTGAGTTGAGGAGGCTTCCTACAAGGAGTGAGTTTTGAGCTGGACTTTTTCCAACTTTTAAATTATGGTCGGCCCTAGCTGGTTTGGCTCAGTGGATAGAGTGTCGGCCTGCGGACTGAAGGGTCCCAGGTTTGATTCTGGTTTGGAGCACATGCCCCGGTTGTGGGCTTGATACCCAGTAGGGGGCAGCCGACCAATGATTCTCTCTCATCATTGATGTTTCTCTCTCTCCCTTCCTCTCTGAAATCAATAAAAACATGTTTTAAAAAATAAGGTTCAATTATGAAAACGGAAATGCAGAAATTTTGGAAAGATAGTGCAATAAACACCCATAAATTCCCCCCAGAGAAAACAATTGTTAGCATTTTGCCACATTGCCCTGTGTGTGAGCATATATATGTAACGTTCTCTGAAGGATTTGAATGTGGGACATTGCAGACACATCAGATACTCATCATTATTCCCCTGGGACCCTAATGCCATTTTTTATGCCTCAGAAAACAATACTCATTCCTTAACCCCAAGCTCATATTCAAATTTTCCAAAATGTCCTAGCATTTTCTCAAACAAGGATTCAATCAATGCTCCTGCAACCGGGGCAGACTGTCGGAGCTGTTGACTGAATGGGAAGCGGGCATTCCTCCCCAGAAGGTTCCGGAGTCACCACGGTGCCTGCTCCCAGGACTGGGGGTGAGCAGGATTGAGGGGCCTTGAAGCTAACATGGGGGAGTTTGGTTCTGCCATGGAGGTTAACCCAGAACAAGGGGGGTGGGGGTGGGGGAGAATCCCAGTTGTATAGAGCACTCAGCAAAAACCGCCCCTGTTCTTCTGACAAACTTCTGGGTGTCTTTTTTTTTTTTTTAATTTATTGATTTTTTACAGAGAGGAAGGGAGAGGGATAGAGAGTTAGAAACATTGATGGGAGAGAATCATTGATCAGCTGCCTCTTGCACACCTCCTCTTGGGGATGTGCCCGCAACCAAGGTACATGCCCTTGACCGGAATGGACTGGGACCTTCCAGTCCGCAGGCTGACGCTCTATCCACTGAGCCACACCGGTTTCGGCCCTCTGGGTGTCTTTATCAGACCACACCTGCCATCACTTTCTTCCCTAGACACTCAGTCACAACTCAAACCCACACGGGGTCTCAGCCGTGGGTTAGGACGTGGAGAGACCCTGGGATAAACCTCTGGGGCGGTCTGGCCGGCCTGCCAATCTTGGCTGCTCTCCCTCCCACCACCTGCCTCCCTGCTCTGCCCTTAAGAACTTAATCAGACCAAAGAGCCTCCTGGGAGAGCAGCTGGCACCAGGGACAGAAATAGCCAGGCAGAAAGCCTGTCTCTGTCCAAGCCTCCAGCTCCGGCCGGCCAGGGTTGGAGGCAGAGAGCATGGGGGTTGGGGAAGGAGAAAATTCAGAGCATGCTCCTGTCCCCCTGAAACCCACCCTGGGCCAGAGAAGCTAAGCACTCACCGGGCCCGGGACTCGTGTGGGGTCACGCCACCCAGTCCCTGCCGCCTGGTGATGTGGGATGAGCATCTATCTCAGGGACACGAGCCTGACCCTGGGAAGAGGGTCCCTGCCCCGGCCTCCACCCTGGCTTTCCTCCGGCCCAGCCGCACCTGAGGTGAGGAGTCAGGGAGATGAAGGAGATGGATGTGTCCATCCTGAGGTCACTTCCCCTCTAGATCAGGCCTTAGGTACTGAGATCCAGAAGTCTCCTGTCCACTTCCTGAGCCTGAGCAGGTGTCCTCCACGGGCCCAGTCGCCGAGGGTGGATGGCATCACCGTTGTGAACAGCTGTTGGTAGGGTCGTGGGTGAGGCTTGGATGTGAAGGCTGGGGTGTCCCATGCATGCTTGCAAGGCCCCTCGGGATGTAAGGAGGGGAGGGGGCAGGCTGAGGGCCAGCAGCTGGCTCAGCCCACACTGCCGTGTGCCAGCAGAGAACTCCAAAGAGGCAAACCATTCTCAGTTCCAACCTGACCCTCCACGTTGCTATGCAGGTATATTGACAAGGAAGGGAGAAGTGCCCGTTTTATTTTGTAAGTGTCAGGCAGAGGGAGGGACGCTGAAGAAGGCACGAAGCTCTGGAATGGCCCAGCACAGTCCCTGGCCCCTGCGGGCACTGCTGACCTATGTGTATTCAGAGTACCTTCAGTGAGGCGAGTGGACACTCGAAATGACACCTTTTGGTGCTAGGCATCAACCTGACCCGAGTATTTTATTTGGCTTTGAAATACTCAAAATTTTAAAATTTAATTTTTAAAAAAAAAATCTTTATTGTTAAAAGTATTACATTGGTCTTTCTTTTCTCCCATCCTCCCTTCCCCTCACTGCCAGGCCCTCGCCACCCCATGGCCTGTGTCCACAGGTTATACATGTATGCCCACAAGTTCACGGGCTGATCTTTTCCCACCCACCCTCCCCTGCCTTCCCTCTGAGGTTCAGCGGCCTGCTCATGCTTCTATTCTCTGGCTGGCCCCTGTGCTTTACACCGCAGCAGGTTTCCTTCTTTGTTTGGCATTAGCAGGGGCTCAGGAGGCGGTTTCCCTGGGCTCAGTCATCTGGGTGTTTTAGGGATTATTCTAACCACGGAAGTACCTCACGTGTATGGGGTGCTTGGGACATGCCACATTTATTCACCACGGGCTCTCACACAGCCCCATCTTGTCTTACAGAGTTAGAGACGATGGCTCCGAGGGGCTAAGCGGCGTCCTCGGGACCACCCCGCTGTGAGGACCTGACGGAGCAGGTCTTCCTGGGGCCCAGCTCTCCCTCCTCCCTGCTCCTCCCACCCTCACCGGCCGAGGGGCCTCAGAAAGACACAGGCTCTCGGCCCTGCCTCAGCAGCAGGGTCCGGGGGCCATGTCCCTCGTCCCGTGGCTCCGGTGGAACGAGGCCCTGCCCCGGCTGTCGCCCCGGAGCCCGGCCGAGGTGGTGCTGGAGACGCTGATGATGGAGCTGGCGGGGCAGATGCGGGAGGCGGAGAGGCAGCGGCGGGGGCGCGGCGGGGCGGCCGGGAGGGTCCGCACCGGCGTGGACTACAGCTGGCTGGCCAGCGCGCCCCGGGCCGCCTGCGACCTCAGCCCCGCGGAGCGGCTGCACCTGGAGGCTGTCTGCGCCAAGATCCCCCCGGCCTCCTGCGGGCCTGCCATCCTCAGGTAGGCCTGGCCCTGGCCCGGGGCCCCGCTGCTGAGCTGCAGGCTCCGGGGAGGGTGGCGGCTGTGGCAGGGCCCGGGGTTACCAGGGCTGAGGCCAGGGGGCCCGGATGGCCCGCTGTCGACCAGAAAGAGCAAGGCAGGAGGAGGAATCTGGAGCATCAGGCCGTGCGAGGGGCCCAGAGTGGCTCCTGGGTGCAGGCTCATGTGTTTTGATAGGAGAGAATCCCAGGCCTTTGGACTTGCTGACCTCCCTGTCCTGATGGTTATGATCCTGAATTTTTTTTTTAAAAAAAATATATATATTTTATTGATTTCTTTACAGAGAGGAAGGGAGAGGGATCGAGATCTAGAACGAGGAGTGGGCTGGAGCCACAGGGAGGTGGGGTGGCTCTGAGTTACTTCAGGAGAAGTGGGGACGGACGTGGAGGACTTGGGACTTGACCTTAGGGGGTGCATGTGGGAGCCCTGAGCCCAGGTGCCACCGCCAGGTGACCCCCCTCCTACCCCCCCACAGGTTCCGGCAGCTGCTGGCGGAGCAGGAGCCCGAGGTGCGGGAGGTGTCCGGGCTCTTCCTCTTGGTGCTGCAGGAGGTGCTGGAGGGGAGGAGGCGGGAGGAGGAGGCCCGCAGGCTGGCCCGGCAGTGGAGCCTGCGGCCCCGGCCCCACGGCATCCTGGCCCTGCCCGCCTTCAGGCCCCGCGCCCGCATCTCCCCCTTCGCCAGCGACATCCCCACCGTCTCCGAGGACGTGGAGCGGGGTGCCCGGCCGCCGGCCCGGGCCTGGAGCATGCCCGAGTTCAGGGCGCCCCAGCAGGACTGACCCCCCCACTCCGGGGGCAAAGCCATCGGTGGGAGGGCGTGAAAGGCCTGGGACCACTCCGGCCCTGGAACCTCCTGCCGGGCGGCCAAGGCACTCCTGTCAGATGGAGCAACTCCCTGCCCAACCACCCCTCCCCCTAAAGCAGGCCCCCTCCCTCCCCGGGGTCTCCGCAGACAGACCAGGGCCCCGCCTTCTGGAAGACGGGGATTGCCCTGAGGTTTTGCCACGCCCCGAGTCCTCACCCCACCTCCAGGGCTGTCCCATTCACCCCATCTCCCTGGGTAACTAACGATGAGGCTCCATTCTCTGCCGGTGTCCGGCGGTCCCGCCACTGCAGGTGGGTCCCAGCCTCGTGGGCCAGCAGAGCTGGAGGTGGCCACAGAGGTCACCGGGTCCACCCTCCTGACTTCTGAACGAGGACCCTGAGGCTCAGACCAGGCCCCGCTTCTTCCACCTTAAGGATCCCTGTGGGTGGCAGGTTGTCCCTGAACACTGTCTGCCCCTGAGTCCTGGAGTCCTGGGCTATGATGGGACAGGTCCAAGGACTACACCTGCACCTGCCCGTGGTCTGACTTCTGTCTGGCCTTGGCCTCGGCCTTGGCCTTGGCCTGGGGGGCTAAACTGCTCTCCAAGAAAATCGCTAGGGCAGAGGTAGGCTGCCGTCACCCCACCCCAGGGTGTCATCTCCTGGGGGGTGGCTGGTCCCCAGCAGCTCCTCCTAGAGCTCAGCTCCCCACTGGATGCTCTGGAGAGTCCGGGTCTCTGAGCCAGGGCCCCTTCGGAATCTGGCCATGCCTGCCCTCGGCTTTCCCCGGAGCCCACGCCCCTAACTGACCGGGAGGCACCGGACATGCCTTAGGAGAGCCTGCTTGCAAGTTAGCGCTCGGTGATGGGCGTGTGGAGTCTCCCCTGTGGGGGTCACCCACAGCGAGTCCCACACTCTCTGGGCTGCAGTGGGCGCGGGGGACGGTGGGGAAAGTGTCCCAGTTACCCATGCACACTCAAAACCAAGTGAAGCAGGTACCCTTTCCCCCCGAAAATAAGAGTGTCTTATATTAATTTTTTTCTCTCAAAGTTGTGCGAGGTCTTATTTTCAGGGGATGTCTTATCTTTCCATGCGCTAGGTCTTATTTTCGGTGGATGTCTTATTTTTGGGAAACATGGTACTTCAGCGGCAAGCTTGTCCCCGGCCCTGGCTGGAGCGTGTGCAGGAACCAATGGCTATGTTTTCTCTCTCTCTCTCTCTCTCTCTCTCTCTCTCTCTCTCTCTCTCTCTCTCTCTCTCTCTCTCTCTCTCCCAGTTCCTTCCACTCTTCCTAAAAATGAATGGAAAAATATCCTCTGGTGAGGCTTAACAACAACAAAAATAAATAAGAGTTCTGTTAGAAATTGTAAGTGATTCTTTTTTTTTTTTCTCCTGCAAAAAGCCTTACTGTTTCCATTTGGTCCAAATGGGGGAGGGCCTCAGGTGGCTAAAGGAATGAGAGTGGTTTCGGGGAGAGGCTCAGGCACCAGGGGTGCAGAGGGGCCCCTCAAAGGCATCGGGCTCCACAGGCTCCTAGTCCTGCTGGAGGGAAGCCTTTCCAGGAGCTTCTGGCCCCGCCCAGCCTGGGGCCTCAGCCTGGGGAGGGAGGCCAGGTGTGGCCCATCTTCCCCATGAGTTTCACCTCCTCACCGGAAGTGGTTCTGCAGGAAGTCAGAGCTGAGCGTCTGCGGGGTCAGAACCAGGCTTGCAGGTCCACAAGGGCCGGAGCCAGGTTCCTCCCCAAGACCAGGGCGGCCTCCCTGGCGCCCTGAGTGCTGCCCGCTCATCCAGGGGGACCTCAGTGCGTCCTGGGGGAGAGGGCGGCCACCGCGCTGGGTTTGCATCTCTAAGAGACACTCAGAGCCCTCGTGCTGCTTCTCCGCCAACTGGCCCAGAGAGAGGTAGGTGTGGGCGCCCACAGAGGCAGGGGGTGGGGGTGGGGTGAGGGGGTAGGGTGGTGGGAGTGGTAGGGGTCATGGGAGGGTTGGCGAGGGTGGGGGTGGGGGTGGCGAGGGTGGTGGTGGGAGGGGGGTGGGGGTGGTGGGGAGGGGTGGGGTGGTGGGGGTGGTGAGGGGGTGGTGGGGGAGTGGTGAGGGTAGGGGGCCGGGCGGTTGATGGCAGCCTTCATTTCGGTGGGGTAATTCTGAGGCATTTGGGAGCTCATGGTTGTTGGGCAATAAGGAATTAAGGTAGAAGAAACTGGTGTGTTGGCTGGTCTCAGAGGTGGTTCTGAAGGTGGTGACCGGCCAGAGGCTGGGAGAAGGGGCATCCCTAGGTCTGTTCCCTCCAAACTCAAGAGGTAGATCTGGACCATCATGGGCACTGCGCTAGTGAATCTTAATGTAAAAAAAATGCCAGGAGAAGGCAAGTCAGCAAGGGGAAATCCATATATTCCCTCACACAGCTCAGTGGGAAAAAAATTTTGTTTTCACTCAAATCTGGACAGAGAATCATAGGATTATAAAAAACAAACAAAAACAAACCTCTCACCCAACACTGTCAAGACGGAGTTGTTTTGCTCATTCACATAATTGGTAAAAGTTAAATGACTTAAATAAAAATATATTTGTACATCTTAAACATCTTAGATATTTTATGTTAAAATATAAAATATGAAAAAAGATATAAAATATGGCTCATTTAACTGCAACATTTTTAATGTAGGCCTCAGCTGTGTTCACTGTTGTGTGTGTGTGTGTGTGTGTGTGTGTGTGACAGGTGTCGGTGGTCTGATGGGAGTGCTACATGTCTGGTGCATTGGGTTGTGTGTCTTTCATTATACAGCAACAGTAAGAACTGGTACAAACAAGTTTTGGAAAAAGCAGAGGAGAACCGTGGTAAGCAGATAACTCAGTTGGTAGGGGCAGAAGTTTTGGGAGAGAATTAGAAAAGGATCTACTAGCCTGGACCTTTCAGGTGCCCTGGAGGTGGAAATGCGGGGTCAGGGCTAACCCGTGGGGGTTCAGAGGTCGGTTAACAGAATGTCCGATGTGTCCTCCTTCCCCACCACCCGACAGGCGCCTCTTCTCCCCGCAGGAGAGGGAGACCCGAAGCTCTCAGTGTTGGGTTGCTTTTTCAGTTGAGGCCACGAAAGCTTCTCCACACATCTCAGTAGAACAGACGAAACCCACCAGCCTCCGGTCGTCCTGTAGTGAATCCTAAGTGGGAATCAAATCTCAATTGAGATTCAGATTGTTAAAGGGAGTAAGGATGTCCACCTCCGTTTCTAGTTTAAAAACTCAGGAACGTATAAAAGAACAAAACGTCTTGAGAGGCTCCTGGTGAGTGTGTGTGTTAGCAGCTGTTGGCTGTTGAAGGGATTGGGGTTAAGGATGCTCAGGACTTCCAGGATTATCTGTTTGCCTGCAACTCACCACCACTGGCCACTGGAGGGAGCCAGTGGGGTTGGACCACTCAGAGGTTTCATGTTATTTCACTTTGGGTTTTTGTTGGGAACATTTTCAAACAGCAAAATAGAGGGAAAGTGTAAGGAGCTCTCATAGTCCCATCTCTAGGGTTTAATGGTTATTAACATTTTACTGTATTTGCTTTCTTTTTTTGTGGAATACTTTAAAATAAATCCCAGACACCGTGACATTGCACCACTGAATACTTCAGTATGCACTGCAAAGGAAATTTACCTGTGTCTCCACAATACCATGACTCCCAGCAAAATTAACAGTGATTTTTAAAAATGTCATCTAATACCAAGGTCCGTATTCAAATTTCTCTATTCCCAACAACCCTCACCCGAGGATATACCCACTGATGGGGAGAGAGAGAGAGAGAGAGAGAGAGAGAGAGAGAGAGAGAGAGAGAGAGAGAGAGAGAGAGAGAGAGAGAGAGAGAGAGAGAGAGAGAGAGAGAGAGAGAGAGAGAGAGAGAGAGAGAGAGAGAGAGAGAGAGAGAGAGAAGAGAGAGAGAGGAGAGAGAGAGAGAGAGAAAGAGGAGAGAGAGAGAGAGAGAAAGAGGAGAGAGAGAGAGAGAGAGGAGAGAGAGAGAGAGAGAGAGAGAGAGAGAGAGAGAGAGAGAGAGAGAGAGAGAGAAAGAGAAATGTGAGAAACATTGATTGCACCCCCAGGTATGTGCTCTGACCAGGAATCAAACCCATAACACTCCAAACCATTGAGCCACCCAGCCAGGGATGCAGTTTATTTCTCTGAATAAGAATCTAATCAATCCACACATTGACAAGAAAGTTGTGATCTGTTTTACCTTTGATCATACTGTCCATCCCCTTGATCAGAATCAAACTAGGAAGCCTTCAGTCCACAGGCCAGTGCTCTCTCCATTGTGCCAAACCGGCTAGGTCAGCAACCGAGATTCTTTAATATTTTGAAATAATGCTAAAAATTGATAGTGACAGTATATCTAATCTGATTTCTCATTTGATTAAAATACTCTCCTCCTCCATGTGTTTTATTTTCTCAAACATGCTTGCAAATAGCCAGCTAAAACCTTCCTTTTTCCTGCCATTTAGAAACAAAACACTAAACTATATGTGTGTGTGTGTGTGTGTATGTGTATATGTGTGTGTGTGTGTGTATGTGTGTGTGTGTGTGTGAATATATATCTTGAGGAAAACCTCAAGAATTCTAAGAGTGGCTAGTGAAAAACGTGTATGTATTTTTTTTTATGCTATCGTTCAACACGTAGTTGTATCTCAGTCTTTCACCTGGCTCTTCAACAAAACATGATCCATTATTTCAAAAGTTATTCATCAGCAAATCATTTTTTTTTTACAGTTATTGTAATTTAATACCTTGCATCATTTGTTAAATGGGGGAATTGGGAGTTGTTTCTTTCTGGTGAGTATTATTACATATTGTATTGATAGAAGCAGTTAGACAGGAGCAGAGCCAGGATGATGGACTGGGTACAGAAGGCCAGCAAGGCCCCACGTGCCTAACAATGGCAGTCACTTGTAGGGAGGGACCTCGTCCCCAGGTGACTTTTCCTCCCTAAGCAGATGGCT